ACACACACACACACACACACACACACACACACACACACACACACACACACACACACAGACACAGACACAGACACACACACACACAATCTCTCTCACTCACAAACACACTCAGTCTACCTGTGATACAAATGCCTCTTAAATATGGTACATGTAGGTGTCATGTACAGCAAGGCCTGCTTCGTGAAGGGTTTTTAGGGGCCGCTATAGAGCCACCTTCAAAGTCTAGCAACAGTAAGTTCCTGTGGTCACAAGGGGGTGCTATGACTGTGATTTTACTTAAGGTTTCAGCTGCAGCTTAGATGTTCTGCTTTCTGACTGTGTACTTTGTTGTTTAGAAACTCTAGACACTCTGGAGCAGTGGGTGAGAGAAATCTTCAGCAAAGTTCCCAACAAGTAAGTGTACTACAACTACTATCCCTGCATGAATAAAGCAATTCAGTTCACAAGATATTTGTATTGTTCACCAGAAAATTTGATGTACACAACATGCCTACAACTTTGGAAATGCCAAATGTTTTTTTTATTGTTAAACAAACAATAAATAAAAGAAAATAGAAACTTGAGTGTGCAGAAATATTCACCCACCCCGGTATTTTTTGTTTATTATTAACAAGAAGCATCTGCTGATGAAATAGATCTCAGAAGACCTACGATCAAGAATTGTTGATTTTCTTAAAAGCTGGAGAGAGTTAGAAAGTCATCTTCACAAGTTAAGCTATTTATCAATCCATATTTAGACACATTTTCTATAAAAGGAGCCAATTTAAAAGTGTGTCAATGCTCCCTAGAAAAAAGTATTCTCAAGATTATCATGATATCCTACAAGACACTCAGCCGAGGTTGGGTGGTGCAGCAGGACAATGACCCTAAATATTGAGGTAAATGTAGTACAAAGAAAATCTGTTGATTAGAGTGGTCCAGTCAGAGGCTAGACCATATCCCAATAGAAATGCAGAGATGCAGCGCCACCGAGGGATTTACCAGCCGACAAACGGAGAGACAGACGGGGACTCAAGCTTTTTTAATATCTTTTTTTACGTCTTGTGAATCCTTACTGTCTGTGTTTTTCACTCTCACTTTGGTGGAGATCAGATTACTTTTAATGACCAATTAATGCATAAAACCAGGAAATTCCAAAGGGTTCACATCACTTTCTTGCCACTGTTCTTTATCTATTATTCCTTCAATACTGACCAAAAGTAAAATTGTTGCCTTATCTGACAAGAGCACTTTTTGTTCATATGCTTTTTTTTAACCAAATGATTTTCTTATTTTTCTTTATTATCAATGGCTTTTTTCTTGCCACATGTCCATAAAGCCCAGCTGAATGGAGTGTCCTGTATGTCATAAAGTTGTCCTATGTACTCTGATCTACAAGCTCCTTCAGGGGGACATTTGTGTCCCTGTTGCTTCTCGGTTGAATGCCCTCCATGCACGGTGAGTTTGGGTGCGGTCCCTCTCTTGGCAGGTTTGTTGTGGTTGAATATTCTTTTCATTTTTGGTATAAAGGATTTAATGGTACTCTGTGGGATGTTCAAAGTTTGTCCACCTGTCTGGAGAGATTGTCAGTCTTCATGGTGCGATTTGCTTGCTTGGTGGCCGCCTATGCTCAGTTTTTATAGGGACTAGACCCCAGTACATGGGCAATACTAACGACAATCAGGCAAAAACGAATCATGTAAATGAAAAAAAAAAGATTGATGTTTTGTGTTTTCTTGTGTTTAGTGGGGAACTCAAAGCGGACTTCTCTCACCTCCTGCAGCCGTTTGACACTCCAGCCTTCAACAAACTCTACAGAGGTCAGAAAGTAGTGGCATTATATTATATGTATGTTATCATATAAATAGGTTAGAATCCCACGGCCCCTACATGTGTATATGTTATTATCAAATATCAATATGTTAATATGGTATAAGAAGAAACTGCCCCTTTTGGGAGCATTCATGCTGGCTAACCTATAACAGCTTTTTTTTTCACATCGGTCTAAGATGAAATCAGAAGAATCATCAGTCTAATTTTTTATTAAAAACATACTGACACATATCCGCATGTGTTTTGCAGTGGTCCCTGTGAGGAAGGTTCATGCTCTGAACATCAGCTGGGCCGTACCACCGCAGGGGAAACATTACAGGTGCGTCATTGTTTAATACTTGCATTAGAACATCGACCAAAGAAAAATGTACAAACATGTGCAGAGGCAGGTTTTAAAAAATGTTGTTCAGAAAAAGCAGGATTAACACTGGACCCAATGTGCTGCTAAACAGGAGCTCTTACATCTCCTCTGTCACTCTTTTTCTCCATCCTAATTTATCATTTGTCTACGGTTGGATTTATTTTTTATTTTCTCTGGAATAATAAGTCATTAGTGATTGGAGAAATACTCAGATCTTGTCCTTTAGTGTAGTAAGACAAATATTATCAAGAGAATGATCTGTAGTAATTGTAGAAATAAAATATAAATAAAAGTCCTGCATTTGAAGTACCGGTATGTATTTATTCTATGCAAAAAGTACTTGGTATCAAAAGATATATACTTTTCAAACATGACTAATTAATATTACTTTACATGTTGTTGCTGGCCCTGATGGACCTCATTCAACCTAACTTTACCACCATACTCCATATATAATTATATACTGCATTTTTTATATTTAATTGCAAAGGTTAGTTCATCAAAATGGTACTTCAGTGCAGTATTTAAATAAAACTCACCACTACTGTTAGTGATGTTGCAGGCTGGTGTAGAGCACATTATCTCTCCAATCAGATAACTATTCACAAATGTTGTGTATTTTGGCAGAGTGAAGCCGCTTCACTACATCTCCTGGCTGATCGGACATGAAGGAACAGGCAGCATCCTGTCTCTGCTCAGGAAGAAGTGAGACATAAAGAAATGACTGATTAGAAACGGCAATAACTGGTAAATGCTTGCACAGGACTCACTGTGTAAACTATGTTTGTCTTTGTGTGTGTATTCAGGTGCTGGGCTATGGCTCTGTTTGGAGGAAACAGCGAGACAGGTTTCGACCAGAACACCACCTACTCCATCTTCTCCATCTCCATCACCCTGACTAACCTGGGCTTCCAGAACTTCTACCAGGTCAACACCTCGTACAGCAACATGTACTGGTTAACCTTGACTGTTTAAAAAGTTACAAAAAAATATAATTAGATTAAACAGTTTCGTTTTTTTTTACTTCTCAATGCTTTAATATTTGTCTCTGTGCAGGTTGTCCATTTGGTTTTCCAGTACCTAAAAATGCTCCAAACTCTTGGGCCCCAGGAGAGGTAAGGCTCCTTACACACACACACACACACACACACACACACACACACACACACACACACACACACACACACACATGTTTTAGGTACCATGGGGCACTGCTGCAGAAACAGACCTTCATTTTTTGTTTTGTTTTATAAACTTACAGTCAATGTGTTGTTGAGAAAATAATACTTGAAACAACCTTTACACAAATATAAGAATTTGATATGTAATAAGATACAAATAAATGGTCATATAACTATGCCCAGCCCCCTTTAAAGTAGTCAAAGTAGGCCAAAAGCTATAAAGCATATTATTGACTTTTTTCCAGGATCTATGAGGAAATTCAGAAGATAGAAGCCAACGAGTTCCACTATCAGGAGCAGGTACTGCTGCACAGACACACACTGTACACACGTCTCTGGATAAATGAATGTGCTTACAGCCAAATGACAGTTCAGTCAGCAGATTAGATGAATCAGCCCTTCTCTGTGTTAATGTGATTTTTTTCTAGGAAATAATGAATCTTCATTAATACTATGAATTAATACTAGTAGTTATGATGATGACAAGGATAGCAATAATTCATTTCATTCCTGTAAATCATCGCTAATATTAGAGAACACTAATTTGTATTTTATTAAAATGTGATTAGTAATTTGATGTTGTCTCTGGTTGTTTCTGGACTGACAGACAGATCCCATCGAGTTTGTGGAGAACATCTGTGAGAACATGCAGCTGTTTCCCAAAGAGGACTTCCTGACTGGAGACCAGCTCATGTTTGAGTTTGACCAGGAGGTAACCATGACGTGGTCTGTTAGTAAGGGAAAGAGTCAAACAGATTAACAAAAAAAGGTTATATCATATATAGTGATAATAACTGTTTTTAAAGATTATTTTTGGGTCACCAGTGTCTTTACTGGTTAGAGAGAGTTGAAAGATGGAGACAGACGAGAGGACATGCATAAATTGTCCCTGGGTAAGGTTCGAACCCTTCGAAACCCCCTCCCACCTGGCTACCAAACCAATGTTCTTTCTCTTTGTTGTTTATATGTAAAGGTGGTTCAGTGTAACGCCCTCTGATACATTTCGTCTTACATTGCCGATAAGCACTTAGGTTCCCATTCATTCATACTGATCTTTTAAATTGGGCCAGCCTGGATGTTGAAGTGTGCATCAATCCTGCCCTTCCCTCCACCGTAAGGGCCTTTCGCAGGACCTGATTCGGGCCTTTCCACCTGGGAGAAAATGTGACTTTTTCAAGAATTTGTCTTGTACATTCTCGCCAGCTTGGAAAATATTTGTTTAAGTATTATGGAAGCCTATCAGACACACGCACATGAAACCATCTCAATATTTCAGTTTTTGTCTTGGCATATTTAGTCATATACTCGTCAGTCCATTGTAGTTTTGTGGGGCATCAAAGGCAGACCTGCTGTGATCATGGTCTTTGTAATTGTTCCTTTAATGATCCTTTAGTAGAGTTCTCTGTGTTAGAAGGCACATGCTGAGGAAACCCTTTCCTAACCATTTTGTATTTTGACGTTTTTGTTGCTTTCAGGTCATTAGTGCCGCTCTTTCACTACTGACTCCTGACAAAGCAAACCTGTTGCTGCTGTCACCGGAGAACGAAGGTCACTGTCAACTCAGAGAGAAATGGTTCGGTACCTGCTACAGCAAGGAGGGTGCGAGACACGCACACACACTCAACACTCAACACAGACAGACACACCATAGCGTCTCATTTACAGATATTTATCTTTGATATCTTGATGTACTTTGTTGGGATTAAGCCTTTATCTACTGTTTGTGAAGATTGTGCGAGTCAATTAATGCCGAGATTTAATTTCAGTTGACACAAACTAATTGTTTAACGAAACATTGTATTTATTTTTGATGTAACGTGTGCAGGCAAGGAAAGCATTTGCTGCTTTACCAAACAACTTTCTGAAGACAACAAAGTAATGATATATAACCTGGGATAATTTAGTTTTGTCTCATCAGACATCCCAGAGGAGTGGGCTCAGCGCTGGGCGGGAGACTTGGAACTCAACCTTGAACTCCACCTCCCCGCTAAGAACAAATATATTGGTCAGTACAAAGAAAGCAACACATGATGCTACAAAAGAGCTACAACTAAAAACATAAATTCAAAATGATCTTCTTCTTCTTCATGGCACAGCGACCGATTTTGCTCTGAAAGCGTCTGACTGTCCGGACACAGAGTTTCCTGTCCGGATCGTGAACAACGAGCGAGGCTGTCTGTGGTACAAAAAGGACAACAAGTTCAAGATCCCAAAAGGTGAGCCAGAGGCAGGATTTGGGGTAAGCGAGGTCACTTCGGGGTTAACGCTGAGTTTTCGGTACTACGACGCTGGAGGACTTCTTCCAGCGCCCGGTGAGCAATGGGAGTGAGGGGGGGAAGGGGGGTGTCCGGTGCCTTGCTCAAGGGCACCACGGCAGGGCAGGAGGTGGACTAGGACCTCTCCAAGTAGCAGTCCACACGCCATATTTTAGGTCTGGTCGGGGACTTGAACCGGCGACCCTACAGCTCCCAGTCCAAGCCCTTATTGACTGAGCCACTGCCGGAATACTGTACACCCACATCTGTAGCCCTTTCCCTTTCTTTTAATTTAATTTCATATTTGATATATTTTATACATTTAGTTAAACTTCTGCACCATTTCATGTCTAAGATTCTTATATTGCCGTCCTATTTTTTATTATACATAATAAATTTGATTATTGTTGCAGGGAGCCTGAGGTCTACAGCAAACGACTGGTTCTCTGTAACTGTTGTGCATATGTCAATAAATAATTGTACATTTCTAGCAAGGGTTTAAATTAACAACTCGTTCAGTAAAAAATAAGGTACAATTATGTGGTTTTCTGTCTTTTTAGCTTATATTCGTTTCAACCTGATCTCCCCGATGATTCAGAAGAGTCCTGACAAGTAAGAGTTTAAGAAAGACATTTGCTTGCATTCATCCTCGGCTTAAAGCCACAACAGGATGAATTGCTGTTCTGTTTAACAGTGTTCTTCCTCTTTCAGTCTGGTTCTGTTTGACCTCTTTGTGAACATCCTGGCTCACAATTTGGCCGAGCCAGCCTATGAGGCTGATGTGGCTCAGCTGGATTACAAATTGGTGGCCGGAGAGCATGGATTCGTTATCGGATTTAAGGGCTTCAACCACAAACTGCCGGTGAGGAGACTGTACACTCTAACATAGTGTAACATAGTTAGAGACAGAGTGGAGCATCTAGCAGCCAAGCAGGCATATCAAGTCCTTCAGGGGTCAGAAGCTAAAAGAGAAAGAAAGTTGGACTTGCAGTCATCAGGTGGACATAAAACCTCTATTATTAACCATCATGTTACCCTTTAACTTTAAGTAAGCAACTAATAGATAAGATCAACATATCAAATGTCTTAATGTTTGTTCACATTGTTTCCAAAACATCAATGAGGCATTCCGTTGCAGTGTCTGACATGTTTCTTTTATTTCCATCAACACATATATTGTAGTTTATTCTGAATGAATCCCACATACAATGTCCTGCTGGCCCAGATACGACTAAAGGACCAAATGTGGATTAATCCACCAGTAAAAATAGTCCCCCAAAAAATTTGCTGATTAAAAACTACAGTGACACGCAGTTTTAAGGAATTATTTAGCCTTTGTTTTTATAAAATAATATATTTTTGAGGTCTTGGTAACAAAAAGGACATAAAGTATCAGCAGTTAAAGTACTTGCTAGGCCGCAAAATAACCTCTGACATTAAAATGCTATTCATATTATTCTATGTCTATTTTTATTATTATTATTTATACTTAAACATTATTTTTCCAGCTGGTTGAGGTGCAATTTTACCTACCATGCTTTATATATGTTGTATATATATTTGGTAGGTCCATTCTTAACTTAAATGTTTTTAGTGTAAAATGCATTTTTAATTAACATTTTATTTTGTAAATAAGGCTTTCAGATTAATGTAGTGGAGTCAAAAGTGAAATATCTCCCATAGATTTAGTGGAGTAAAAGTATAATACAAATACATCAACAATTAGGTTATAGTTATTATAGTTAATTGTATTATTTGCTTCATATGTACAACCACCCTGACTTCTCTCCCACTGCTTCTTTAGCTGCTGCTGAAGCTCGTCGTGGATCATCTGGCAGAGTTCAGCGCTGCACCGGGAGTCTTTAACATGTTCTCTGAGCAACTGAAGAAAGCCTACTTCAACATCCTCATCAAACCTGAGAGACTGGGCAAGTATGTCCCACACACTGCAGACACAGACTCTGTAAACAGCCTTTCATGCCACCAACATAACGTAAAGGGATTCACAGTATTTGGCAAATATCCGGATAACATTGTTGAATTTGCCATAACAATTACTCTAAATAAGTTAACACAAGAATCATTTCTGCTGATTATAGTATAATGCACAAATGCAAAACATTACTGGGATAAAAAGAAAAAGTTATTATTTTCAGCTATCTTATTTTGAACAAAATAAACATTGAACTGAACACAAAGGGCCTCAAAGAATGATGATAACATTTAAGAGTGCAGCTTTTTACTAATAGTTTCTTTATCACATTTAAATATATAGAATAATTATAATAATAATAATACAAATAAATGACAATTATAGCGCTTTTCTAAAAACTCAAAGACGCTTATATGCAATAGAAAGATGCTTAATATGCATAAAATACTCATATTTTAATTGCGGAGGGTACCAGGCTTTTATTTGAAGCAGGCTGGTATTTGAGACTTCCCTCTGGTTGAGAGTACGTTGGTCACATTTAAGTATTAGTTTTTTTTTCTGCTCCTGTTCGCCAGTTTGTGAAAGCTCTTTTGTTTTTTCACTGTATTCAATATTTTTTTTCAGTATTATTGTACTGCTATTCAATTAGTTTGGAATGGGGGCCGGTTGATGAAAATGATCCAAAGCAAGGGGCCGGGAAAAAAATTGCTTGAAATATGAGCAATCATATTAAGAGCTTCAGATACAGTAAATACTACAGCAGGTCACTTGTGGAAAAAGAGATCAATGATCTCAATGGGATTCACCTGCATAAATAAAGGTATGAAATGAAATGACTACAACAGCATAGTGGAGTGCATATATTTTGTTTAATTAAATCAAACATAGGCCCAAGGCCTTTATAAATGGTAAGTTCAGAACTCAGTACATGTGAAGCTAATATAACCATCAACATCATTAGATTTAGATTAAATGATCGAATAATTCACACAAAATAGCAATTTAGGGCCATACACAAACAACAGTGCATATTATGGTATAATAAATAATATGCACTGTTGTTTGTGTATGGCCCTAAATTGCTATTTTGTGTGAATTATTCGATCATTTAATCTAAATCTAATGATGTTGATGGNCAATTTTTAGCATAACGAAAAATAAGGGTAATAACAAAGGCTCTGAATTAGCCCTGAGCGAAAAAATGCTAACACACTTAGCACAGAACTCACGTTAAAATACCCTTATTACTTATCGTATCTGCACAAACAAGATATCAATTAGCAAGCTGAGATTGCACAGATTCGACAGGTATTAGTATCAATACTGACCGATCCGAACTCGCGATATGAGAAGCTAACAAAGACATCACACCGTAGCATTAGGTAGCCAACACGGCAATATGTCTTACCTTTGTTGTTGTCTGATCAAAAGTTGTCTTCAATGGAATTAAAAGGATAAATACGCTGCTGAAGGTTAATCCATAGGTTAATCCAATGTGTCTGTGTTACTTTGAAATTATTTCTGATAATCCACCATTAGCATTAAACCTAGTTTTAAGTTTTCAGATTTCAGAGCGTAAGATAGGTTTCAGTTTGGGCAAACTGCATGCGCATAGCTCTCATTTCTCAATGGTAATGTGTGTGTGTATGTGGAAATCCCCCTTCGATTCTATTGGCTCTAACGGTTCTAAAGAGATGTCAATCATCAAAATGGGTTCCAGAGAAACGGCAGAGGCACCCATTTCCACCCAAATGACCCCAGAGGTGGGGTTTTATTTGCTAAACCTCTCTAAAAAGGTCAAATGTCACTTGTTTTGCATCAATCTTGATACAGGGTACTTATTATATGTTATAGTTTGGATTCCTAAAGCTTTTAGTCTACTATCCCATCATTCAAGGGTGGTTTTCACTGTAAGTAAGTTTATTTTTGGACGGACACTATAGTTTAATTTTTTTTACTATGTTCAATCTGAATTTACTTTAAAATAAAAAAATCTATATTGATTCTGACTTTTCTACATCCAACTCACAGGTTTATCATGATGATCAATTTACCCTTTTTAGAAGGGAAGTTATTGTCATTTGTTCTGGGAATGTCATTTTCGAGCCTGAGACCTGAAAAACAGGCTTGGGGCTTTAAGCCTGATACTACATTTAATTTTAATTAATTCAGTTTTCAGAAAAAAAACATTGGATATTTGATCTCAAAATAACAGCATCCTCTCTGAAATCACTCAATGTTCTCTTCTTGTCATTGAATTCCCCCAAATCCTCTAATATTGTCTGGGACTTTGGAAAATACACATCACAGGTTCCCAGAGCCCAATAATGTTTAAAATATTAATTTAGCAGAGAAATAAAATGGAGAAATGCAGCACGTTCTCACATTTTGAGAAGCTGGACCTGATCATAACAACTTTTACAACTTTAAATCACTCATTACAATTGTTGCTAATATTGTCTTTCATCATTTAACTCCTATTCCAGCTACACCTGGCAGCACATGAATCTGCCATAACGGGCCAGAATAAAAATAAAAGGTTGAAAATGTTAATCTCTGCTTTGTATCTGTTTTATTATTGTCCAGATTTGTACCCAATATGTCAGCTTTGAACAACTCCTATTGTTCTCAAGGTGAAGAGATCACCCTGTGTGTGTGTGTGTGTGTGTGTGTGTGTGTGTGTGTGTGTGTGTGTCTGTAAATCTGTGAAATACTTTGGGAGAAGCCGATTAAATAAGAAATGAAATGATAAAGCAGCTGTTCCATATTTATTACATAGAAGGCACTTAAAGGCTGAAATCTGTGCGTGTGTGTCGGCCGCTGCGTTACATGTCTGAGCACGCAGAGCAGTGTACCAAATGTTTGTGGTTTTTGCTTTTGCTTTATTTATTTATTCATTTATTTATTTGTTCTCTGGTGAGCGGGATTACCTCTGAATTATGGAACAGTCCCCTTTCTCTCCTTAAGTAAAAAATAACATCTGTCCGGCAAATGGAGAGCTTAGTGTTTCTCTATAATTAATGGTAAAAGCCTCCAGAGCCGCGCATAAAATATACATCCTCCATGCAGGACCCCCATAACAAAGAGAGCGAGAGAATACAGAGAGGAGGAGGAGGAGGGCAGCAGGTCAGTGAGAGGAGAGGAAGAAAGAACAGAAACAGAGAGAAGAAGAAATAAATCGGTCAGTGTCAGGAGTGTGTTTACAGTCACACCACAGGACAGTCTGTAGAACAAATTACACAAAATAACGACATTATTGTATTGCAACTATTATATATTGATATACATGTGTGGATTCTCCTTTTTTTTCCTCCGGACCTGACAAATTAAATAAAGACATTTTTCTCATACCAGGTTCATCTGATTTGTGGGTAAATCCTGGTAAATATATGTAGACCAGACCTGTATTACCAACATGAAAGTGATCCTGAGATTTTCAGTCATTATCCAGTATGAGAAGTTAATTATACTAAAATGTGTTGTGAGAATAATCCATGATGTGGTGGAGAGAGGCTGACATGTGTGCACACATGAACAGAATGATCTGCCGGGACACCGCTGCACAGTGAACATGTCGTCGCTTATTGATCAGTAATGAAAAATTATTGGCTGTGGAAAGTAAACACGGAAGCACTCAGAGGGTCATCAGGGAAACACACGCCATTACATTTACAGTATGGTGTCTGTCACACACACACACACACACACAAAGATTAAGATTTATGACATGCACCGCTCCTACATTGGGGGGAGACAGATTTTATTGTGTGTTTAGCCCCTTTTGTGCTGTTATGTGTCTTTTTGTGTCGTAAATGAACCCCTCTACGGTGTCTTGTCTCTTTTGTAGGGCTGAAGCTTACGGTCTTAATTTTGATGAACCTGCTGATTATTTTCTTGGTATCAATTAATTGTTTGGGTGTTTAAACGGTCAGAAAAATAAAAAGGTTCATCCCAGTTTAGATTGCGAAGTCCAATGTCCTGTCTTCAAATGTATTGTTTTGTCCAAATCCAAAAAGTTTTTAGATAGATACTTTATTTAACCCACAATTGGGAGTTTATTTTATTCCGGTAGCAGTGTCACGCATTACAAAAGTTAAACATTTTTAAAATATACAATAAGATAAAAATATAATAAGAATATAAATTAACATTAGTATATAGTAAGAATACAAATAAAATGAAAAAATAGCAGCAAGTAAATACAAATAACAATAGAAAGACATATATCCCTAGAGTATCTATAATACACAAGATATTGAATACATTTAGTATACTCTACAATATACAGTCTCACTAGGCTACAGAATATATATAGAAAGATACTACAGACAATGTTTACTTAATATGACATAAAGCTAAGAAAAGTGTGAAATCTCACATTTTTGCATGAAAAATAAAGGATTGATCAATTATGAAAATAGTAAGTGATTTGTATCTGTCGATGAACTAATCGATTAGGAGACTAATTATTGCAGCTCTAGTCATTTTGTATCTTTGTACTGTACATACTGCAGGTTGTTTTTGTCAATTGTAGATATTGTTGTCAGTGTTAGTTTAGCTCCTTATCGTAATATTTAGTTTCTCTTTTTTTTTTATTCCATCCTATTTATATTGGTTTTGATGTGTCTCATTGTGGTCCTTTTGAGTGTGTTCCTGGTTCCTGGTGTGCACACACACACAGAGAGAGAGAGAGAGAGAGAGAGAGAGAGAGAGAGAGAGAGAGAGAGATGAGCTCATCAGTAAGTGGAGCATATTGTTGACTTATTTGCTCATTTATTTGTTTGTCGATGTGAGCTGTGTGTTATGGAGGAAATACCTTCCATAATTGATTCCCAGTGCTCACATATCAGTGAGAATCAGCTTTTATGCAAGTAGAGGTGGTCAGTTTTTTCTCAAAAAAGAGACATATTGACCTCCAGTGGTCTCCCCATGGACAGCATCCAGACATCTTTGGCCAGTTGTTCATCATTCACTCATTAAAGAAAACTCTGTAAACCGACCTAGGTGTCCCTCAAAGTAATTCAATATAGCAGAGAAAGGCTCAATGTGTGTGGACAGGCATAGCTTTGTTCAGTCTGTTTTACTTGATTTGGGCAACTATGACAAAGAGTGTGAGATACACGTTTATGCTAAACTATTTGCTGTTTTCTTTCTGTTTCATTTAATACAATAATAATTTACAAATTGTAAATAGGTTGAGCTTACTTACAAAGCAACACAAAAAGCAAAGTTGAAAAGTTATTCTTTATTTTCTAAATGCTTTATCATTTCACGTTTTTACTTTTGATTCAAAATCATGTTGGTAGTTTTACCAACATGATTGTAAGCTGTTTCAGATGAAGAGTCTAAGAGCTAGATAATCGTAATGTTATGGTCTAATGTGAGATGGACCGGTGCGTCAGTTTCCACGTTTCATCCCAGACACAATGCGTACCCAAGCTGTACAAAAGCTCTCTATGTTTGGCAGCACATACCTGTGTGAACAACTGTTCTCTTTGATGACGATAAACACAAATTCACACAGGAGTCGTCTTACTGATGAACACCTTCACTCAATCCTGAGGGTCTCCTCAGCTCAGAGCCTGACCCCAAATATTGATGAACTTGCATCCAAGATGAGATGCCAAGTATCTGGCTTGAACTAGTGTGCATCACAAAGCAGCACATTTAGTTTAAATCTATGTTTCCTTTTCGCACTTTTTTGGTTTGGTTTTTTGGTTGAGGGACATTTTTCTGAAGCTGTTGTTGGCCTGTGGAAAAATGTAATCATAAGAAATGATTTCTGGAAAAGCTGCAGATAGAGCCATAAGAAATCAATGCAACTGATTTTTCATTTATTTAATGTTTAATGTTGGCAATCATTTAAGCTTCGTTAGTTCCAGGTTTCATTTCAATACGTTTTGCAATAAACATTGAACCAGTCCGGCCCTCGACTAGTACCGATTTTTTTTATTTTGGCCCACTGTGTATTTGAGTTTGACACCCCTGACTAACATAATGCTTTTAGTTTTCAGAATGCGTTGCAGCTTCTCAAATAAAACACAGATTCACATAAAGTAAAAACCTGCTTTAAGGAAAGAAGCCTAATTAATTATTTATTTTTTAATTACTGGTAAAATAGCTATAGGTTATACTTCCCAACACACCCCTCCTGTAAGGGTGCAACAGTTAAATGGGAGTGTAGTTGCACAGTGAGAGCATCGGTAATATGGGCAGTGTAAAACATGTGATTGGGCAGGGTACAATAATAACAAGAATACAACTATTTAGCCTTGAAGTTTAAACAGTTTGTACTTTTAATAGGTGTTTACTTACAGCTGATGCAAATGGTTTTTTGGTAAAAATCCTTATGTTTGAGCTAGGTTAAATACTTAGGCATCCTATTTTTTCAATTATAAACATTCTGTAGGCTAAAGTACCGTAGATGACTATCTATGATGACTAGTTATTTTTTGCCAGTCAAGCCATTATGCTCATTTTAAAAAGTGATTATTTTCTGCATTTACATGTTTCCATTATTATTTTCCAGATATCATAAACCATGAGATGCTATATATGGACCTAGAGTTTAGCTTTTTTCCCCACAGTATATGAAAGCAGCATTTTACAATGTTTTATTTCTTAAGCTCTATGCGAGTACATTAAACTCAACATCTAAGCACGTGTAAATGATGTGCATTCTAACAGTATCCTCTTTTATCAAATAAGAATGCTAGCTGTTTCCATGGTAACTGTATTATTAATGTGACAGCGAAGAGGTCTTTAGCTCTCTCATGTCAGTCTGCAGTGAGTGGCTTAGCTGAGGATTTTGTAGTAAGGGTGGAGGGGGATGGAGGAGGTGAACGCTCGGATGTCGGAGATGAGCGTGGCGTCCTGGAGCAAAGGCGAGGAGGCCATCAGGAAGGTGAGCTCGCTCACTTCACCGTAGGCCGAGGAGGGGGGGTTGACAATGCTTTCTGGGCTGCAGATGGCACTCGGTTCTGGGGGGTCATTCTCCTCCACCCCAAAACCAACCACCTGATGGAGATGGGGAAAACAAACGAGTAGCTTTTGTTAGTTCATATTTGTCTAAACAAGAATCGTACCGGTTAGTTTTGCCTTACTTACAAAAAACTGCGTGTACAACCAATTTCTTCTGAGCATTATCCATGTTATATCATTCCTAATCCTGCATTGAGGGAATTTCTTCCACTCTCAAGAAATATCTCTGTTAGCTGTTAATGTTTGGTGTTGACCCAAAATATAGTTTTCTATCATTTCTGTAATGATTCAACAAAGAAAGTCTTACAAAGGAACTTCCGACTTCCAAATAAAAGTTGTAACTAAGTTTACGATGCCCAAACACACACTTACATGGACACTGAGCTTCCTGCTGCTGCTGTTTCTGTGTTCCAGGAACCAGGAGACCAGCTCCAAGCGAGAGAACTGCTTCAGCGTCTCGATCTGCAGGGGCGAGCACAGCATGTCAGAACCACAGGTCAGGACCTGCTCACTTTCATTAGCAATAAAGAAACAAATACATCCTTATTTTTACTGTATCTTTGTATTCAGAGAAAAGTTTAGTGAATATTTTACCCTTTATATTCACTCAGTGTCAAGTTTATTATTAGGTACACTAGATTAGATCAAACTAATGCAGATCATTTACAGTTAGTGTGGACGACAAAATAAAAATGTAAATCAGAAACTATGAATAAGATAAGATGGACCTTTATTTATCTCTAGTTAGAATTAAAGCAGCAACAGATTGAGAATGAAAAACAGGACAGTACAGATTCATACAAGGTAAACAAAATAACTGTTTGAACAAATAGAAATGAAACTCAACCAGATTAGAGCTTTGACTAACAATCATTTCACTTTATTGTTTTTTTATTTGTATCAATGTCCTATCCTATTCCTACTCTTAACTCTATTATATCGTATACATTATTATTGATTTCTATGCTTTGGAGATGTTTGCTAACCATTTAAGATATTAAGGCAGTGTGTATTGTGACAGAACATGAAAGGGAGTTAATGCGTCTCACCTCCTTGTCAAGCCTTTTAAAGATGTATTGCTGTGTGACAACCTCAAACCAGTTGCGGTCCACCTCCTCTCCCAGGTGAGCGTCCTCGCATTCCTTCAGCTTGATAAGAGCTGTCACCTGCGTCCTGAAGGCGTCCTCGCTCAGCGCCGACAGACGCGCCCCGAAGCTGACCAGGAACTCCTCAATCTTGGCGTCCACCAGCTCTGTGCTGCGGGGACGAAAAGGAGGGTTTTAAAAGAGAAAAAGAAAATCAACTCAGGAGTCAAACACACAGGTTGGTCAACTAACCTGAACTTTGAGGCCTGTGTTTCCACGGTGACGGAGAACCCAAGCATCCCAGAGGTGTTCCTGCAGGTCGGGTACACCTGGTACCTGGAGGGGAATGAGATAAGAAAGGGTTTTTAAAGTGCACATGAGTGATCTTTATGCTCAGTTAATATGACTCAAACTAACCCTAGCGTCTCCTTTGTCCTGAGGAAGTCAAAGCATGGCTCCTCCATGTGCATCTGGGGAGGCACAACCACGTCAAAGCACATTTCAGTATATAAAGAAGGGTTCAGATGACATTCTTTTAATGAATCCTTCCCATTAGATCATAGGAATTCCTGTGGTTCGGTAATGAAGAGGTTAGTTAACACTCAGAATCATGTATTTGTCACTAGTGTCTGTGGAGCCGTAGTAAACATGTCAACACTCACCACCAGCAGCTCCATCAGAGCATGCTCTCTGAGATTCTTCAGCCCCGACTGCAAGAGAATCAAGATGTATACAACAAGAGAATACAAATAAATGTAAACATCTTAACAGAAGTAGTTAACTTCAGTAACTTTGATGTCGTGGATGAACTCAGCATTTAGAACATGACATATTGGGATATTTCCTCAGTTAAAGTGAACATTAAATGGATGTTTAACGCTTTAGTTTTAACCACACTGCAGCTGTAATTTGTCTTGTTTGGGGAAATAGCATGATTGTCACCCACCTGAAAATAGACAGTGACCTCAGAGTTAGCGTCTCCTTTGTTCAGAGACTTGACTTTACAGAAATGATGTTTCTGAGGCAGCTCCACCACCCGGAACAACACAGGGACCTCTGCTGACAGGGGCTGGAACTGCAGCTTACTGCAGACGCACACACACACACACACACACACACACGTAGTTTTAAAAAGACGTACATTCAAAAATCACACTGGCACAGACACTGTTGATTTTACAATTACATTCCAGTCTAAACTGGAAATGGCTGAATTAATCTAAAACAAATATTAAATAACAAATAAATATAGAAGGAATAGGTAGTGATCTTTTTGCAGTCATCATGCTGCAAAAATATCACGCTGTGTGTGTGTGTGTGTGTGTGTGTGTGTGTGTGTGTGTGTGTGTGTGTGCGCGTGCGTGCGTGTGTGTGTGTGTGTGTGTGTGTACTTTTTAGCTAAGTCTGGGGTACCCTCCACATTTGACCATGTAGGTACATCTTTGTTAACACACTAGGTTATTTGATTGTTGCCACCCCTGTATTGGTTTTGTTCCCATTGGTAGTAGTTAAGATAGTGGGGCTTTTTGTTTGCGTTTTCTTTCAAAGGATAGATTTAGATATAGGCCCTATTTATTTATTTTATTTTGTACAATCCCCAAGATCCTTCACCCCCTCACTTAAATAATATTTGTTGGCATTTTTTGTTAATTAAGAACAATTACACTTGTTATAACTCTGATAGTCAACATTTAAGTATAGTTGCAATCAAAATGATTCAACCCCTATTGCACATTAGGTTTATTGTTGGGATATACCATTTCTCAGCTGTTTGCAATAAACTAATTACACAAGAACTGTTTAAGTAGTTAAATGAAACTAATAATACAAGGGTTTTAGCCACATTAAACACAAAATGCAATGTTTAATGATTACTGCAGTCTCACAATTATTCAACCCCATCATGACAAGCATCTTCAGTACTTAGTAGAGCAGCTTTTGCTGCTCTGACCTGCTGCAAATGTGAGGCCAGACCCCAGCTTCTGACAGCGCTCCTGAAGAATCTTAGCACATTCCTCAAATGGCTTCCAGGTCAGTTATATTCTTGGGTGTGCGTTTTGAAACTGCCTTTTCAAATCCCACCAGAGATGTTCTATGGGGCTCAAGTCAGGCGACTGTGTCTAGAATCTTCCATTTCTTCTTCTGAAACCAAGCCTTCGTGGACTTTGAGGTATGTTTGGGATCATTGGAAGGTCAAATTACTCCCAAGCTTCCTCACAGACAGCATGAGGTTGTTTCCAAAATGTTTCCTGATACTTGAATCCACGAGCCCTCCAGACGCTGCAGGTTTCAAGTGCCAGAGGCAGCAAAGCAGTCCCAGAGCATCACTGAGCCAACGCCATGCTTCACTGTAGGCAGGGTGTTCTTTTAGTAATATTAGTTTCATTGAACTACTTAAACAGCTCTGGTGTAAATTGTTTATTGCAAACAACTGAGAAACTGTATATTTTGCTAATAAGTCATCCGTCGTACCAGCATAATTCTGAACCTCCACCATCATCCCGGTCCCGAAAAAAACAAAGATCACAGGAGTCAATGACTACAGACCCGTCGCCCCCACCCCTCTGTGGTTAGGAAGTCCTTTGAGCGCCTTGTCCTGTCCCACATCAAAAACATCACAGACCTCCCCTGGACCCCCTGCAGTTCGCCTACAGAGCCAACAGGTCTGTAGACGACGCTGTCAACATGGCCTCCACTCAGCAGGAACCTACGCCAGGATCGTGTTTGTGGACTATAAAAACTGTATAAGCAGGATACTCACTCAATAAAGTACTGCAGAAACTCTTTGGACTCCTGTTGGGGGAAACAACATGAATGAGATTACACCTGAACAACTTACCCAAAGAGAACATTTTATAAATCAAGTGGAACAAGCATCTGTATGAGAGAGGAGTGGGTTATAACATTAAGTTGAAATGCATTTGAAGATACACAAGTCCCAGTTTTACCAGAACAGTTTCTACTTTCTACACTTTTAATTAACAACATACATCTTCATGTAATTCAGATTATATATTGGAACTAACAAAAAAGTAACTTTTAAAACACTAACAACTTATCATCCTCACCATATATATCTTTGTTAGCTCTTCATTGTTGATATCTAATAGAGTACTTTCAGAGACAGATGTGAGAAATACTGGACCAAAACTAAAAAGGGAAATAGTTGTTGTAACTTGGCTGAACTAACTTCGTTAACAATTTGGATTCTGAAGGGTTTAGTTTAGCTTTTCACATCACAGATCTCTCTTTCTCACCGTGCTGGTGAAATTCCCCTGCACCAGCCCTTCGGTGTACAGCTCCGACTTTAGCCCAGTGACAAAGGTCATGAGGTCATCCACTGTCAGACCCTTAGTGACTGCCTGATACTTCTGAATGACAGACCAGCGATAGTGCTCCAGGATCCTCAAACGGACGTCCCTGCAGGGAAAGCAAGCCGACACTGAAATCACTGTTGCTCTATTTGTAAGGATGCAGCTGCTCCTCAGTGGATCTGCCTGCAGTTTGCCTGCTCAATGTTTGGTAAATGATCAACTATTTTGTTGAAGAAGATTCATAGGTTTGACTACATTGCTGTATTCACCTGTTTCCGTGTTGAATAAACATGTAAGAAGATTGTATTATTAAGCTACCAAGACACTGCTTTGGTAGCAATTGAAGGTATGCTGTACAGCAGGGCTATTCAATTGGCGGCCCGCGGGCCAAATCCGGCCCCCGGGTGATATTTACTGGCCCTTTGAGTATAATGTTAAAAAGTTAAAAAAAAAAAATTAAAGTTTAATTAAAAATAAATAAAAAAAATGTTTGGGCCAGAGTGCCTTTATTCCTGAGAGGGTGTTACATTGAGAGATAGAGGGGAAGACATTGCCTAAAAACTTTGGCGGGCTCGGGTTTCAAACCCACCTACTAGCAACTCCTGTCATTTATTGCGTCTCTGCGCGCGTCCTCGCGGCTCGCGCTGCCCTTCACTACAAGCTCGCGCACCTTCGGCGGTTTAATCAAACCTGGTCAGCATAGTTGGATATCAAAATGTCTCTTTCTACGTTAAAAAAACGAAAGGTTGACACTGAAAACCGGCAATTCAACAGCGAGTGGAAAGAGAAGTACTTGTGTGTAAATGTCAGTGGGAGGCCCGTGTGTTTAATCAGCAATGAGTGTTTATCGGTGTGTAAAGAGTACAACTTTGAGAAGGCATTTTAAGACAGCTCACGCCAACTTTGACGCCAATTTTTCCAGCGGGCTCTGATGCTCGCCACCAGAAGATTTTGGGGCTAACTTCGTGCTATGACCAAAGACGTAGCTCCCTGTTTCGGGCTTGCACTGACCAAGAGAGAGCTACCGCAGCGTCCCTA